ACTAGATTGACATGACCCTAATCCCAAAAGAATGGATACTATGTAAGGGACAGAAAAAGGCTTGTATGTCTGTCTCTGTCTCTCATTGTTTTTGCTGTCTTCTGCCACCATGAACTGCTGCCCCTCTGCCATGTGCCATCTGCCTTGGAGCCAGCTAATTATGAACTGAAACTTCTACAAACTGTAAGCTAAATAAACCTTTCCTCCTTAAAAAAAAAAAAAAAAGTAGGGGTAGGGTTGGGGACATTGCTCAGTGTGAAGACCCTAGGTTCAAAGTCCAGTAATGTAAAGGGTGGGGTAGGGGGAGCTTAAGATATAAAAACATACTAGAGATCTATATTTATTAAAGAAAAGTTGTCTGTGAAATATTTCAGCATGTGCATGCATGTGTGTGTGCATTAGTGGTAACTGTGTGTCAGTAAAGCTTTCATCTTGAGCATCCCTAATTGCCCTTTTTTAAAAAAAAATAATTTAAAAAAAAAATTTGAGACAGTCTCACTAAATTGCTAAATTACCCAGACTGGATCAAACTTGCTATTATCTTGTTTCAGCCTCCCACAGTGCTGGGATTACAGGTGTGCACCACCATGCCCAACATGAAAAATTCTTAAATGAAAAATAGATCATAACATAGCATATAAAACATGTAAGATTTGTTATAATTTTATTTTTAAAAATTTGTATAAGTACTTATTTAAAAAATATTAAATATGTATTCAATGGGGAATATATGGAAATGTTTCTGTTAAAATGATAACAGGAAAAAATTTTTTAACAATAGTCAGGTTAACAATACCCTAGGTAAGATTACAGATGTTTTTTACTTTTCTTAATTTTCTAAATCTTTAGCAATGAGCATGAATTATTTTATAATTTTTTTAAAAAACAAAAATATTTTCAAAAGTAGGTGACAAAGGGTAAGAAAAAAACCTAAAATGGAGCTATAAAACCTTTAAAATGTATACACTTATAAATGTGTAAGATAGCTCAGAAGGACACATAAATGAATAACAATGGTTGCCTCCAGTGAATGAAACTGAGTGGTGATAAAAAAAAAAATGGCAGAGCCACGTGCAGGATCAGGCAATAGTCATCCCTGTACTCAGGAAGCTGAGGCCAAAGGAAACCTGAGCCCAGGAGACAAGACCAGCCTGCACAGGTGGGAACAGAGGGCATGGCAGTAATCCCAGTATTTGAGAGGCTGTGGCAGGAGTGTGAGTTCAATACCAGCCTGGGAAACACAGTGTAAATTCTTCCTCAGACAAACAAGCAAACACAGAAACTGGAAGGAAAGAAGATAGGAAGGGAAGGAGGGGGGAAAGCAAGCAAGCCAGCCAGGTGCGGTGGCATAACCCTGTTACCTCAGTACTCAGGAGGCAGAACCAGGAAGACTGCCTCAAGTTTAAGGCCAGGCCAGGCTGAACTATATAGCAAGACTTTGTCTCCAAATAAAGAGCAAAACATAGCAAGATACTCATCTCAAAAAAGCAAAAGAAAGGGATAGAAAGGTATCTTCTAATCATATAGCCTTTTGCAAGAAGGACTTTTAAATCCCAAGGTTGAATTATCTGTTCAAAAATAAATGGAAAAAAAATCAAAGTTATAAAGTTGGTTCCAAAAAAGTCTGTATTATTTCCAATGAGTGGACCAGAAGTATGACCTTAAATTTATAGGCCAACCTTAAAGAAGGCAATTGAATTAGTTACACAGTTCATTGTAGCCATAAAGTAAAAACAAAGCCTGCTACTCAAGACAATTGTAACTAGTCCTTTATTCCAGGACTAGAAAAAGTCCCTTATGGAGCGGCAATAAAAAGCGTGCTGTGTAACCTATTAAACCCTTCACAGCTTTACTGAGGACCCAAGAGATGATTCATCTGGCCACTCCATAAGGCAGCCCTCAATCTAAATTAATGGTGTCTTTTTTCCTCCCTCTGCCCTTTTGAGACAGGGTTTCACTATGAAGTTCAGGCTGGCTTTGAACTCACTGTGTGGCCCTGGCTGGCCGTGAACTGCAGCAATCTTCCTTCCTCAGCCTCTCAAGTGCCTCAAGTGCTAAAATCACAGGTGTGCACAACCATGCCTGGCCATCAGTGGCATCTTACCAGAGCAGTAAAGGCAGATTTTTAGACAACCAGTGTGAGGCTGTCTGAAAACATCACTAATTCTGGTTTAATCCAAAAGGAAGATTTCCAACTGTCCATTACAGGACAGACTGTAGGACGCTTAAGCAATCACCTACATGTAATTTGACTCAGAGATGCTTTTATACATCAGTAAATTGTTAACCTATTCTCTGCTGAGTGTCTAGAATGTGGCTCTGGGGGCTGGGGATTTAGCTCAGCGGCATAAACACCTGCCTTGCAAGCAGGCAGTCGTGAGTTCGATCCCTGGTACCGGTAAAAACGAAAAAGACCAAAAAAAAAAGAATGTGGCTCTGATAGCTTTGCTTTGTTTTGGTTTTGGATTTTGTTTTTGTTTTGTTTTGTTTTTTTCTTGTGTTTTTGAGACAGGGTCTCTCTATGCAGTTCAGACTGGCCTTGAGCTCACTTTGTGGCCTAGGCTGGTCTTGAACTTGCAATGATCCTCCTGCCTCAGCCTCCCACGTGCTGTTGGTTTTGGTTTTTGAGACAGTTTTGCTATGTAGTTCAGGCAGACTTTGAACTCATTATGTAGTCCACACTGGCCAGTGAGTCTTCTGCCTCAGCCTCCCAAGTATTTGGATTATATCTGTATGCAGTTCTTCTTTCTTGATTAAAGATAGTATTACGTTGCTTCATAAATATAGTAATTGATTATATAAGGGAAGGATCAACTTCATGTAAAAAAAAAAAAAAAACACTTCCTGCACTCAGGAGGCCAAGTCAAGAGGACTGTTGCAAGTTAAAGGCCATATCAAGACTTTGTAGCTAAGTAGTCCCTGTGCTATATAGCCAAGAACTACGTAGTGTCTCAAAAACAAAAACAAGGGACTGAGACTCTAGCTCAGTGGCATGAGCACCTACATGGCAAGCAAAAGGTCATGAGTTTGATCCCTGATACCAAAACAAAAACAAAAAACAAACTTACCATTTGCTATAACATTAAAACAGTATAGGATGAGCAAAAACTCAGAATATTTTTAATGTAGCATTTAGCTTTATGATAAACTTCTTACACTGTCTTTGTGTGTGTATGTGCATGTACAAGAATGAAAACTTGGGAACATCTGAGCTCTAACTGTATCAAAATCCTCTTTAAAATACATTGGTAGGGGCCGGAGATACAGCTCAGTGACATAAGTGCCTGCCTGGCAAGCGCAAGGTCGTCAGTTCAATTCCCAGTACCCAAAAAAATAAAAAATAAATTAAATAAAATCTATCGGTAAATCAGCCAGATGGAGAGGTTCTCACTATAATCCCAACACCCTGGGAAACTGATGCAATTGAGGCAAGAGAACTGAAATCTGAGTCTAGTCTGGGCAACTGAGTGACATAGCAAGACCCTGTTTCAATCCGGAAATGAATGAATAAATAAATAAAAATCTACTCTGTTTAAAAGAATGGTTAGATCTGTCAAATTTTAATATATATTAACAATGTTCCATTATTAATATTCCATAGGGGGCTGGGGATTTAGTTCAGCGGCATAAGCGCCTGCCTTGCAAGCAGGCAGTCGTGAGTTCGATCCCCGGTACCGATAAAAAGGAAAAAGACACACACACAAAAAAATTCCATTACACTAGGAATTGTTCCACTACACTAGAAACAATTTAAAGTCAGTTTGACAAAAACCCTGCTTAGAGGAAAAAACAAAAACAATTTAAAAATCTAAACAATCTATTGATTTAGCCATTCCTCTTCCAAAATAAAACCTGTAAGAATACAGAGTAACAGCATTTCATAGGATTATTATCTATTTAATATTTTACAATAGTTGACTAAAGAGCTCATTAATTGTCACTAGCTATTCTAAAATATATATTATATATATATATATATATATATATAATATATATGTGTGTGTGTGTGTGTGTGTGTGTGCATATATATATTATTTTTTTTAATAAATCACCTCAAACCTTGGGAACTCTACAACAAAAATGATACTTATTCTTCAGGTAAATACTAACAACAACAAAAAAAGAGATTACAAAAGACCTATAATGACCTGAATGTGGTGGCACACACCTATAATCCCAGCACTTGGGAGGCTGAAACATGAGGATCATTGCAAGTTCAAGACCAACCTGGGCTACAAAGGGAGCTCAAGCCAGCCTAAACTGCATAGCAAGACCCTGTCTCAAAAAGACAGACAGACAAAGAGACAGAGACAGAGAGAATAGCCAGGGATATAGTTCAGTGGCACAATGCCTCCCTGGCAAGCCTGAAGTTATAAATTCAATTCCCAACACGAAGAGAGAGACAGACAGACAGAGATATATGACATATAAAAACTTTTTAAAGGCAAGATTAAGTTATGGGGTTGGAGGTTTAGCTCAGCAGCATAAGCGCCTGCCTTGCAAGCAGGCAGTCATGAGTTCGATCCCCGGTACCGATAAAAAGGAAAAAGACAAAAAAAAAAAAAAAAAAAAAAAGAATGAGAGAAAATTAAAAAAAAAAAAAAAGATTGAGTTATAATATTTAGGGGCACTCATTTTGGGTAATAAACCTTAAAAACATACCAGGATGTCATTACTATTAAAGTCAGGATAATAGCTACCCATGAGGGCAGCGAGGAGACTATGACTGAGATGTAGCCTAGGGAAGGATATTACTCACTGGAATCACAAAGTTCTTACTTCCCCAAGTTCGATTGGGGGGGGGGGGGCTCTCACTTCATGTGAATGATAATTACAATAGTGTCCCTGTTACAATCTACTGTGTAATACAGTGTGATGTGTGCCTTACTGACTATATTTAATAAAGAATGAGTTTTATTTTTAAGTAGTGACACCAGAAGAGTTCCTCCTGACCCTGACTCTCATAGCTGTATTAATGGTGAACTACTTTTTTTTCTCTCTTGTAGTGCTAGGGATCGAACCCAGGGCCTTGTGCATATAAGGCAAGAGCTCTACCACTGAGCCACATCCACAGCCTCACCTTATTTTCTTCTTTTTAAAAACAGGGCCTCTATGTAGTTCGGCTGGCCTTGATTCAATAGGTAGCCCAGACTGGTTCAACTCTTAGGGATCCAAGTGCTGGGATTACTAAGTATGAATCACCACACCCAGCTAGAGATAAATTTGTAGATAAATACTAATAGTTTGGACTATACTCTGAACTCAAGAAGCCAAATGCATCCTAATTCCTAATCACTAGGTCAAATGTTGAAGAAACACCAAAATATGGCAAAAAGGTTCCAATAGAATTCCTGATAGATTTCTAAACAAAATAGAATACAGTGAATTCTGGTGGAACAGCCTGCCTACAGATTCCTAGTTTCCTTTTTTTTTTTTTTATTTTAAAGACATTAAGACAAAAGCGAACACGGGGGCTGGGGATTTAGCTCAGCGGCATAGGCGCCTGCCTTGCAAGCAGGCAGTCGTGAGTTGTGAGTTCGATCCCTCATACCGATAAAAACAAAAAAGACAAAAGCGAACACAACAAAGCAGATCAGATCAGAACAATGTAAGCAACACAGCATTTTACCACAAGACAACCCATAATTAACAGTAACTACCATAATGTCTCTTTCTTTGAAATAGTTGAGCATAACTTCATATACGATAGTATCAAACTAAATAGTATTAAACCATTCAAGAGAATGAAAGTATTACAGGGCATTCAGAAGTAAATAACAGAGAACGAACAATGGCTACTATATTATCTTATTTTCCATAGAAAATTTGCTTATACTACCACACATAATAAAATCCGATAAGATATAATATGATAGAACCAATGGAAACAGAAGAACAAAAGCATGGTAGGACTTCCAAGTAAGATGATATTAAATCAGCACTGGCTATTATAATGTCTTGTTTTCTTCAAAATAGCTGTTCATACTATCACAGATAATAAAAATCAAACAAACCAGGATAAAACCATTCCAACTAATGAATGCAAACATTATAAGGCTTCAAAGCAATGTAATGGGGAATGATGATTACCATAAACTCTTACGTACTCTTACCTTTTCTTACACTAGGGAGACTATATGGTGTTTATACATGTGAGTTTGATTTATTTTTTTGCTTATGAGTATGGTCTCAAGTTGCACTCATTTATTTATAAATATCTCAATGTGATCATTCTTTATAGCTGAGTAGTACTCTATTTATAAAAATACCACAGATTTTTTATCCATTCCTCAGTTGATGAACACTTAGGTTGTTTCCAAGATCTGGCTATTACAAATTGTGCTGCTATAAACATGGGTGCACATATATCACTGTGGTATGATGTTTTCCGTTCTTCTGGGAATATGCCTAGAAGTGGAATAGGTGAGTCAAATGGGACTTCCAATCCCAGGTTTTTGAGGAGTCTAGATTCCTAGTTTTCAACATACAAAAATCAATAACCTACCACATACCAACAATGAGCCCAAGAAAGAAACCAGGAAAACAACTCCATTTATTTTTTAAAGTTTTTTGTTTTTGTTTTGGGGGTTTTTTGGTACCAGGAATCTAACTCACAACCTTGTGCTTGCCAGGCAGGCACTGTGCTGCTGAGCTATGTCCCTAGCCCCTTAAATTTTTTTTTTTGAAACAGGATTGCACTCTATAGTTGAAACTGGCTTCAAACTCACTATGCAGCGTAGGTTAGCCTCCAACTCACAGCAATCCTCCTGCCTCAGCTGCCTCAATGCTGGGATTACAGTGTGAACCACCACGCCTAGCCTCAACAAATCTATTTATGACCGTTTTTTTAAAATTTAAATACCTAGGAATCAACCTACCAAGGAAATCAAAGAACACTATAACGAAAACAACCAAACTCTGAAGAAAAAATTGAAGAGAACTCTAGAAAAATAGAAACACATCTCTTGTTCTTGGATCAGCAGAATTAATACAATTAAAATGAACATATTACCAAATGCAATCTGCAGATTTAATACAATCCTATTAAAATACCAACAAGTTCTTAAAACAAAACAGTTCTCATTTATAGAATTAGATCAATTTTACATGTCTATATTGATCTGAGTAACTCTTTCAAAGATAACTATGCAAAATAACAACCTTTGTTATGTTCCTACCACTTTGTTTTGAAAACCTGTATTATTTTTTGTTATTGTTATATGTCTCTTTTGTTTCTTGTTTTCCTTGTACTTTTTGTTTTGTTTTGTTTTCCCCTCTAATACAGAAAGGATAGATGTACATGTAGAGGGTTATATATGCCTAGAATTTCTCCTAAAGAGTTTATAAGAATTGATTTTATTGTGTGTGATGGTATGAACAGCTATTATGAAGAAAAAGACATTATGTTAGCCATCACTGATTTCCTATCATCTTGTTTTGAAGTCCTATAATGCTTTCATTCTTTGTTTCGATTGGTTTTAGTCTGTTTTCTATTACTTGATTTCAATATGTGTGAAGGTATGGACAGCTATTTTGAAGAAAACAAGAGATATTATGGTAGCCACGTCAATTTCCTATTGTCTGGTTTTTGAAGGCCTGTAATGCCTTCATTCTTTTGTTTTGATTGATTTTATACTATTTTGTTTTGTTTGAATTTATTATGTGTGAAGGTATTTTGACAAAAACAAGAGACATTATGGTAGCCATTGATGATTTCCTGTTGTCTTGTTGAAGTCCTGTATTGCTTACATTGTTCTGTTCTCATCTGCTTTGTTCTGTTTTGTCTTAGTCTCTTTATAATTAAAAAAACCAACAACATTTTTCACAAAACTGAAAAAAAAAACCCTGTAATTCATATGGAACCAGAAGAGATTTAGAATAGCCAAAAAATCTTGAACAAAAAAAACAGTAAAGCAGAAGACATCATAATACTGAATTTCAAGTTATAATAGAAAGCTACACTAACAAAAACAGCATGGTTCTAGCACAAAAATTGACATGTAGACCACTAGAACAGAACAGAAGACATGAAAACAAACACATGCACTTTCAGTCATCTTACTTTTTACAAAGATTAAAAACATACATTGGAGAAAAGATCACCTCTTAACAAATGGTGTTGGGAAAACTGGTTATCCATGTGACAAAGATTGAAATTAAATATGTCTCATCCTGCGCTAAAAACAAAGCAAAATAGATTAAAGACCTACATTAAAAACAGAAACTTTGAAACTATTGGAAGATAACAGGGGAAACACTTGAAGCTACAGGCACTGGCAAGGACTCCCTGAGCAGAACTCTAATAGTATAGGAAATAATATCAAGAAATCAGCAGATAGGGCTGGGGATTTAGCTCAGCGGCATAAGCGCCTGCCTTGCAAGCAGACAGTCGTGAGTTCGATCCCTGGTACCGATAAAAACGAAAAAGACAAAAAAAAATAAATAAATAAAAAAAAAATAAAAGAGAGAGAAATCAGCAGATAAGAGCTTCTACACAGCGTGAAAAGACAACCTACAGAATGGAAAAGTTTTGCCAGCTATTCTTCTGATAGAAGAGGACTAATATCCAGACTATATAAAGAACTAAAAAAGATTATACTCCCCCAACAACCCAACCAAAAAATGGGTAAATGAACTGAACAGGCACTAAAAGAGTCTGACCACCATCCTAGGCTGACCACTTTAAGCCTGTTCCATCCTGCTAAAGATATAGTGTCCAGTAACCAGAGCCACACCCACAGCTCCCATCATTCTTCAGCCTTGCTCCAGACAAGCAACCATCCGACCCTGTACTTTCTCCAGCCTTGCCCCTAACCACAACTCCCTTTCACTGAATTCTTCCCCCTTGAAAGTCGCACCTTGACCTTTTCCTTTTGCACCTGTCTTTATGCTTATGACCCCCCAAAAGACCTTATAGTCTTACAGGAGAACTGCCAGTCTTATCTAAGTGCCACAGCAGCTCCTCTCAGATTTGTGCTGAAATAAACCTGTCCTGTTGAGCTTGTAGCCTTGTTTTTTTCCTCCTTGTTTCCTAACAGATACTTTTAAAAGACAAAGTATAAACGACCAATAAGTACAAGAAAAAAATGTTCATTATCATCTTTAGCTACTAGACAATGCAAATTAAAATAACTCTGAGATTCCTTCTTATCCCAATCAGAATGGCTATCATCAAGAACACAAAAAGCAACCGGGCATGTTGGTGCACACCAATAATCCCAGCACTTTAGGAGGACAAGGCAGGAGAATTTCAAGTTCAAACCCAGACTGGGCAATTTAGCAACTTAGGGAGTTACTATTTCAAAAAAAATTTTTAAAAACTGGACTTGAGCTCAGAACAAAGTCCTCCTACACACACACACACACACACACACACACACACACACGAAAGCAATAAACACTGACAGGCTTTGCAACTTGATAACACTGAAAGGACTGGCTTCTATTGCAAAGCTATGTTATTTTTATCTTCCCATTATCAATTTTCTCCTGTTCTGATACAGTACCTGATTTTCTCTGCCTCTCTTGTCACGTTTTGCAGGCGGCTCCTCTCACCAAAGAGACAGAATCTGGCTGACTACAGTAATTGGCTGAAGAACTGCTATATGATCAAATTAGTTCAATGTGACTCAATTCTAGGGCTTTTGCTGTGCTGATGGAAGAACTTTTCACTGAAACCAAAACCAAGCAGATATAACACAAGCTAGTGTTTGCTGGTCATTCTTGTTCACATCTTGAAAGAACCTGCTTAAATGCAACAAAAGCCAAGAACTGGATCATCAGTCTCTGGATCCAGCTAGGTCAAATCAGATCCATCCCTGGACTATTCCAGTTATAAAGGCCAATTTGTTGTTATGTAGTACTGGAAATTGAAGCCAGGCCATTGTCCACGCTGTACAAATGCTCTACTATTGAGCTATATCCTCAGCCTTTTTGTCTTATTTTGTGAGTCTTGCTTCAACTTGCGCATCCTATAAAATTGACCTTAATGCTTTCTTCCTTCATATTTATTCAGTACTAATTGAATCCATCAGCCTCAGCTTTCTGAGTGCTAGGATTACAGGCATACACCT